TGACTCTTAATGAGCCTAAAGTTAAAACTATAATGCCTTCTCCTGGTCAATTAGCAAAATAAAGATTGTACTCCACTTCACTTCTCTCTTTTCTGTATAAAATTAATGCATTCCAGCTATGTTAATAATCAAATGAGCCTACTCTTTCTTTCCGCTGCTAGTATAGATTCCATTAACATCAAATGTATCATAGTAACAATAGTAACTGAGTATAGAGTAATTAGGTGATTGATTAAATTTCATGGTGACGCTAAAGTATAACATGTAACTATTACGAAAATGCCAAAGATTCACAGTTTCAGACAACTCTCTCACATGCAGTTTACAATATCATATAATAAGTTTTACTTATAAAGATGTCGACAGTTCAATTGATGGAATTGGTTTATCTTCTTGAGTTTCAGACGATGTCTCGTAACTCTCCTCTCTTTCTTTCCCTCCTGATGAAGAGAGTTGTTCTCCACTGTGATCTAAGTTGCTCATCTTGCTATTGATACTGTGGGAGCTCCTAGAACTGTGCATGGTTGGTAGAGTTTGATAACTCTTGCTGGTTGCTGGAGAAAGATGGTTTGGTGATACATCAAGTATTATCATAGAATCGACAAGTCTGTGAATGATCAGTAACAATAGTGACATGCATGATAGTAGTTATTATCCGTTTACCTTTCAGTAATACTAATTGGTGTGATAGTCCTTGATCTCCTTATTGTAGGTGTCCCTGCTGGTGAGTGACCTCTTGAATTTCTTGGCGTAACAACCTCATATTGTTCTAATCTCCTGTATAGGTAAGCAAAACAGTTTATGATAACTGTTATGTTATATTCATTGCCTCATTGCACTCCATAAATGTAAATGGTGTGACAATCATTGACAGCTTTACATTTCTCTATCTTATCTCTACTCTCACTTTGTTAGTGTTGATATTTCATCTTGCAAGTTTGATACTTTCTCTTTCAGTTCGTTTCTGTCCTGCAGGATCATCATTAAGTCTTTCTTGTAGAATTTCGGAGCAGATGAATCTCCTCTATCATCGAATGAGCAATCACCGTTATTGTGTTGTACCAATGTGCCACGAGCCTTCAAAAAGTAATGTAAGGATCTTGATGATTTTATTTAAACTTACAACTGTGGCAAGGGTTATGGCTTTAACTTCCGTCACGACTTCACTCCTTTCCATTAAGGCAATCTTCTCATCATTTAATTTCTGAAAAATATATAATCATATACTGCCTTTTGTTAGTGGCTTACAAGTTACATCATAGACATTACAGGTTAAAAAGTTATTGTGTAACAAGATTTTTATTACATAAAAGGGTTACATAGTTTCGCTTACATCAATCATTTGCTGTGCACTGCCTAGCTGTTTCTTTAGTGTTATGATCTCTTGTTCCATGTGAGCCACTCTCTGCTTGACTCTCCTCTGCTCTAGTGAATGAGATTCCTTTAACTCAGTCACTTTCTTCTTTTCGTGTCCCAATTCTTTATTCAACTGAAAATATAGAAGGAATGATAAGGAGTAGCTGGTGTGAATTGCTGAATGTTAATGATTATCTCATAGCTATTACTTCAATTGTGATTAGTTAAACGTTAATACTGACAGATATCTCAAGGGAAAAGTCTGTTTGGGAAAGTGTATGTATATGCATGAATATCTCTTGTTCACAAGCTCAAAAAGGAAAAGGAAATATGTTGGCCATCAATCAACTACAGCGTGGACTATGGTACTAACAAGCCACAAACAAGCAAATCCTGTTGCTCATTGATTTGCATGCAGTGCCCATAATATGACATGCAACTAAGATAGAATCTGCATGTGTACAACGTTACTTGAGTGATGATGAATCCCTTGTCTCTCAATTTACTACTTGAACTAGAGCTCCCTTTTAATTTCTTTGCTTCACGTCTGTCAAGGGATTTTGATCGAGCTACATAATCTGACTGAATTGTGTCTGCTGTGCTGTTGCTAACATTGCTATGGCCATCATCTCCTTCATCTTTCTCCAAAGGTACTGTTGCTAAAATTAAAAAACAATAATATTATTAATGTAATTGTACAAATAAATTCAATAGCTCCAAAACAGGGTATTAACAATGCTCTGTGTTTTTTCAACCCTACTATAGCTTAACACAAACATTTCATAGTTTATACAATGACTCTATGAGATGGGGATTAGCTATGCTTTCAAAATCTTACAATTATATTTCTGTCTCCTTAAAGCAAGAGCCCTATCCTGCTCAATCAGCTCCAGCCTTTGCTGGTAGCTTGCATTCTGTGATTCCAGCTCAGAGACACGCAGGCCAAGTGTGTCCCGCTGTCTTCCTCTTTCTTCAGCAACACACTGCATTCCCTGGATAAGCAGAACTAACTAATAGCTACTAAAATAAAGATTTACTTTTAATTCTTGCTCCAAAGCATTGCGTCTGGATTTTTCACGAGCCAGCTCATCAGCTTTGAGCATTAGCCTGTAGTTTGCGCTCCTTAGCTCTTCTGCCTCCTCCACGTACGTCTCCAGCCACTCTAAAGCTCTCACGACCCTCTCTATTATCCCTTTCAGTGTCTCATCGCTTTGGGACGAGCTTGCTCGCTGTATATCTTGAGCTATGCTCTTTCCAAGGTCATAGACATCAGCTAAAGTTAGCCTCAGTGGCTTTCTATAGCTACCAGGCCTGCTGGCTTGTTGCATGTTGTCCTTCTCTTCTGGTGAAGCCATTTGGAGAAATCTTGACTCTTTGTAGAAGCAAAATGGAGGAGTGGCTCACGTTGTGGGTGGGGCTAAACGCCCCAAAAATTGCGCACGCGCAGTAGCCAAAACTAATTCCCGCGTCATGAAAAGGATTTGAAAAGAGACTGCTTTATTAATTTAATTTAAAAGCATTATAGATGAATGTAGTAAACAGCTAATTATTAACAGTTATTAAATGACCCTCCTAACTTCAAAGAATCTCTTGAGATAGTAAATCTGACCAAATGCCATAGCGATGAGCAAGAATGACTCAAATACAGCCCACCATACGACACGTGAGTTTGTGTTATCATTTACTGAATGAAGGGGAGAGAGAGGAGAGAAAAGAGAACAAAGAAAAATGAAACAGAGAAAGTAAAGCTTCATCATTATTATAAATATGTAAAGAGAGAGAGAGAGAGAGAGAGAGAGAGAGAGAAGTTGAGGAAGACAGACTCACTCATTCTGTGTATTCTTTCTCTGACTTCCATGTAGTCCTGCTCGTGTTTAACTCCGGCCAAACCTGTCGATAGTTCACTGATCATCTCAGCTAGTCTGCCATGCTCTGAGCAAGACAGAGAAAGGAGAGAGAGAGAGAGGAAATATATTAATTTCATCTTCTTCAATTTAAATTTTAGCAATTACAAAGTCAAACTGTAAAGCCAAAACCTCCCATTAAAATTATCACATACCATCGTTTTGATCGTGTTCCTTTGGTGCATCGCCCACGTCCATGCTAAACATGACGACTTTGGGTGTCATGGAGGACATCTTGTTACTAAAGCAGTATCTGTATGTACCATCAACGTGTGCAGCAAACGTGTACTTCCCATTCGACTCACGCTCCCCTGAATAAATAACTCTTTCATCTGGACCTATAATCTATGTGTGTATGTATGTAATGGATTAGAGGATCACGTGATCCAGGATACCTCTACATCAATGTCCAAAAATCCTCCTTCTACCACTTCAAAGGTGAGGCTCATTTTCATTCCATTGCTGACTTTGTCAAAGAAACATTCCACGGCGTGTGCGTCCACGTTGACAAAATAAGCTTGACTTGAAGGAAAGAGGAGGAGGGAGAGGAGAACTGAGAATAAAAGAGTCGCCATTGTTTTTTGTGGGTTAATTACTAATAATTATTGAAGGCGTGGCTTACAAATTGAGCCCCGCCCCTCACACGTGCACCCACAATGGAAGGAAAGAGAGTTTTGGCTCAGTTTAAAAGTGAAGAAGGAGCTTTGGCTGGTCCCCCGTTTGACCTACCAGTCGACACAAACCGGGACTCCCTCCACATTCTCTGCAATAGCCTACTGGAAAATGTAAAATTATTTTTTAATGAATTTAATTTATTTTTTATTTGATATTTTAGGAGGAAGACATGCCTTACGAGTTTTATGTCCACGACGTTGAGGTTGAAGGGACAGTGTCTGATACCTTGGATAAATTGGGAGGGAAAGTGACAAGCGAGAGGTTACTGGAGATTGTTTATCGTCCCCAGGCACTGTTCAGGGTCAGAGCTGTCAGCAGGTGCACTAGCAGCATGCCTGGTAGGTAGAAAGTAGAATTTATTTTCATGATACCAGTAACGGGCATATCTTCACATTATTTTAATCTCATTCATAATAGGACACACAGAAGCAGTGATAAGTGTACAATTTAGCCCAAATGGAAGGTGCTACTTAAATCAAATATTATCATCATTATTATTATTATTATTATTATTATTATTATTATTATTATTATTATTATTATTATTATTATTATTAGACATTTAGCAAGTGGTTCAGGTGACACTACTGTTAGATTTTGGGACGTTACAACAGAAACTCCGCTCTACACTTGCTCCGCCCATAAACACTGGATACTGTTCATATCTTGGTCACCTGACGGAATGAAACTGGCATCTGGTTGTAAGAAAGGACAAGTATGCTCTGAAAGAAGGAGAGGGAGAGATTTTGAGCTAATTCTTGCTGTAACTTTAAAAATTGACGTCGGAATGAGCTCAAACTTTCTACAGAGCATAAGGGCATCAATATGTATTAGAAAATATCATAAAATTTGGGGGTGATTTCGGAGCCATTTTTTGCAAAAAACTATGGGCTATAGCCTTGGGTATTTTTCAGAATTTTGGCGTTTTCTTAAAATGGCCGTAACTTGAAAAATTGAAGTCGGAATGAGCTCAAACTTTCTACACAGCATTAGGGCATCAATATGTATTAGAAAATATAATAAAAATTTGGGATGATTTCGGAGCCGTTTTTTGCAAAAAAAAACCATGGGCTATAGCCTTGAGTATTTTTCAGAATTTTTCGTTTTCTTAAAATGGCCGTAACTTGAAAAATTGACGTCGGAATGAACTCAAACTTTCTACAGAGCATAAGGGCATCAATATGTATTAGAAAATATAATAAAAATTTGGGGTGATTTTGGAGCCATTTTTTGCAAAAAACCATGGGCTATAGCCTTGGGTATTTTTCAGATTTTGGCGTTTTCTTAAAATGGCTGTAACTTGAAAAATTAAAATCAGAATCAGCTCAAACTTTCTACACAGCATAAGGGCATCAATATGTAATAGAAAATGTAATAAAAATTTGGGGCGATTTCGGAGCCATTTTTTGGAAAAAACCATGGGCTATAATAGCATTTGCATTGTTTGTTAGGTTTGTGTGTGGGACCCTGACAATGGGAAGCAAATTGGTCGCACAATGACTGGTCATCGACAATGGATCACTTGTTTATCATGGCAGCCACTTCACAGGTAAACTTCTATAATGTATGAAATCTTAATTACTTTTTGTTGCTTTAGTGATCCTTCTTGTCGTCATTTAGCAAGTGCTTCAAAAGTAAGTATTTATTATTATTATTATTAATTTTATTTATATTCTTTATTATTAGGACTCCACTATTAGATTATGGGATGTTGTTCTCGGTAATACTCTCCTCATACTAAGTGGCCACTCCCAGTGTGTGACGGGCATTAAATGGGGTGGAGAAGGACTCTTGTACTCTTCATCTCAAGACAGAACCATTAAAGTTTGGAGAGCAGATGTGAGAATATAATATTGAATGTACAACATCAGTCCTCTTTTAACACACCTTTTCTTTAGCTTTTTAAAAACCTCTGTCTTCTCTCTCTTTCTCTCTCTCTCTCTCTTTCTCCCTCCCTCCCTCTCTCTCTCTCTCTCTCTCTCTCCTTCCCATTCATCAATCCTTCTCCTCTACATGTACATATACACCTGATATCATCATGTATAATTAGAATATAGCCCATAGGTCACACACTCATGGTCAGTGACTCAAAGAAATACCCAGACAGTTCTCTCATTCTCCTAGACATGACATCAAATGCTTGTCACACAATTGAAGCTCAATGACACACAACCTATAACTGCATTTGTTTGATATCTTGGGAATTTACTATGCATACATGTACATGTAATGTTTCTGGTATTTATGATGTATACATGTACACAATGTACAGCTATGCATAGACTACAATCACTATGTAGACTTTATTGCATCATCTGATTATAAATGCATAGTAATGTACATCTACATTGTACTCTTAAGGTGAGTTTACAATATTACGATAGGCTTGATGTTATGTTGATGCTGGAATAGGACTTGGTTCTATTTTAGCGGAAAGCATGCATCAAAGGGTCAAATCGCCCACGCTTTTGATTAAAATTGACGGTTCACTGGCCTAATGTCATATTGTAAATCTGCTTTTAGTGTATATGTACATTACTTAATGTATATGTACATTACTTAATGTACATGTACATGTGTATTTTTCATAGGGTGTCCTGTGTAGGTCATTAGAGGGTCATGGTCACTGGGTCAATACAATGTGTTTGAACACAGACTATGTACTAAGGACTGGTGCTTTTGAACCATCTCAATCATTAACTGCTACTATCAGCTCTTATACTAGTAAGAATGGAGGATTTAACAACTGTCATTTTATTTAAACCATTTTTTTTCATTGCAGAAGAGGAGATAGGCAGATTAGCTCAAGAGAGGTACCTAAAAGTTAAAGTGAGTTTCATTTTCTCATTAATACATTATTGTGATGTGAATTCAAGGGAGACCAGCCGGAGAGATTAGTGTCAGGCTCAGACGACTTCACTTTGTTTTTATGGCAACCTAGCGTTAGTAAAAAGCATCTAGCCCGCATGACAGGTTAGCAAATAAATAACGAAGTCCATCTCTCACTCACTCTCCCCCTCCTTCTCTTTCTCTTCTCATAAAGGTCATCAGCAGTTGATAAATGATGTTAAGTTTTCTCCTGACAGTCGATTCATTGCCAGTGCTTCGTTTGACAAATCTGTTAAACTATGGGACGGAAAGACGGGAAAGTAAAAGACGGAGATATTGAGAGACTTTAAATTATTATTATTAGGTTTTTAGCTAGTTTAAGGGGTCATGTGGGCCCCGTCTATCAAATCTCGTGGTCAGCTGACAGCAGGTTAATCTGTAGTGGTAGCTCTGACAGTACGCTAAAGGTCAATGTCACAAATAAATAAAGATATTATAATTAATGATTATCAATAATATTTTATTTATTGTGCATCATGAAGGTCTGGAATGTAAAGACTAAGAAATTATTAATGGATTTACCAGGACACTCTGATGAGGCAAGCACATGTGGACATACATTTTTTTAAAATGTCTCTTTTATTTCTCTCTCTCCTTGTAGGTTTTTTCTGTTGATTGGTCACCAGATGGTGAGAGAGTGGCTAGTGGTGGGCGAGACAGAGTGTTGAAAATGTAAGTAAACACTTTTAGTATTACTAGCAATTCTTTAGCATTTAAAAAATCATATTTTAAGCATATGCTTAAAATATGATTTAAAAAAAATATTATATTATCAGTTAGCTTCAAAGTTGTACTTCTTGACTGCTAAATTTCCTAATAAAATAGACATCATAGACCATAGACATTAGCACTTTATTTCAGTGTGTCTCACTTTGTTAAAAGAGTGACCACTGATGTAGAATGAGGAGAAACAGCAATAATTATTATATCATCATTACCATAAGCTATTTTAAGAGCTGTAGATACTCCTAACATTTCTAAGTATTCACACTACTATGGTACAACCACAATCATAAGGAAATGATTAAAGACTATAATTTTCTGTTAAAATTGTTTTTTTTCTTATTTTTGTAGTTGGAGAAGATAGACTTCAATATATTCTTTTAATCAGTGAACTATGGTTCAAGTAATGTAATTGTATATAAAATATATAATAGCTATTAAAATCCTAAATCATTCAGTCATTACATGCGTCCTCTAAGCCACGCCCCTTAGTTACCAAGCCCCTCCCCTTAGTTGCACTGTCTTTTCTATAAATTCCTTATGACTCGCGTATAGTTCCATTTGTGATGTTGCCTGTGTCCATGCCACAGCTCCAGCGTCATCTCCTGCTTCCAGTTTGATGCTATCAAAAGCAGTACCTATGAGCAAGAATGGATAATTATTCTTTACTATGAATAAGTACAATATCAGCTTATGGTCATCTCGATTTTGAAGGGAGTACCCAAAGTGCGATTGTTGAATTAATTTATTTATTTGTAACAGCTGAATAAATAATTATTAATACAACAATTCACTGCCCCTTCTCTGGTCTGTCACTCCCTCTCTGTCTGCTCCTCACACCACAGAATTCATTATTAACATCGACTCTGGACAGCATGAAGTAAGCAAACATGTACAGTTATAGAGTATGTTCACACAAAAGAGTGTAACTGTGTTGGAACACATTTCTATTAATCTGTACATATAACGTCTCGTTATCATAAAAACAAGCAAATACCATTGACATTATTAGTATAGAATTTGGAATTGGTGAAATTAATCAATTAGTATGTAAGTTAGTATTAGTATGTAAGTTAGTATTATTATTAGTATTATTATTATTATTATTATTATATTATTATTATTATTATTATTATTATTATTATTATTATTATATTATTATTATTATTATTATATTATTATTATTATTATTTGCGTACATGTGAAGACAAATTTGGCTTTTATTATTGTAATTCTTGGCATCCTGTTTACAACATTAATCCTTTATATTTACAGCCACCATTACACAATGTATGTATATATACATGTACATCTTTTTCCTGTATGAAGTAACTTTGTGCTGCGTGCCATTTGTTGTACATGTATATACTGTACCTGCATCGTCGTGAAAATTGACAGCCACTGTCTCCATCCAAGCATTATCTGTGTTCCTTGGGTCATCCACATATCCAGCATATATCTGGGAAGAGAGAATTGTTATTATTAAAAGTAAGCTACATTTAGCATCTGGGAAGAGAGAATATTATTATTAAAAGTAAGCTACATTTAGCATGTATCTGGTAAGAGAGAATATTATTATTAAGTAAGCTACATTTAGCATATATCTGGTAAGAGAGAATTATTATTATTAAGTAAGCTACATTTAGCATATATCTGGTAAGAGAGAATTATTATTATTAAAAGTAAGCTACATTTAGCATGTATCTGGTAAGAGAGAATATTATTATTATTAAGTAAGCTACATTTAGCATATATCTGGGAAGAGAGAATTATTATTATTAAAAGTAAGCTACATTTAGCATATATCTGGTAAGAGAGAATTATTATTAGTAAAAGTAAGCTACATTTAGCATGTATCTGGTAAGAGAGAATATTATTATTATTAAGTAAGCTACATTTAGCATATATCTGGTAAGAGAGAATTATTATTAGTAAAAGTAAGCTACATTTAGCATGTATCTGGTAAGAGAGAATATTATTATTATTAAGTAAGCTACATTTAGCATATATCTGGGAAGAGAGAATTATTATTATTAAAAGTAAGCTACATTTAGCATATATCTGGTAAGAGAGAATTATTATTAGTAAAAGTAAGCTACATTTAGCATGTATCTGGTAAGAGAGAATATTATTATTATTAAGTAAGCTACATTTAGCATATATCTGGTAAGAGAGAATTATTATTAGTAAAAGTAAGCTACATTTAGCATGTATCTGGTAAGAGAGAATATTATTATTATTAAGTAAGCTACATTTAGCATATATCTGGGAAGAGAGAATTATTATTATTAAAAGTAAGCTACATTTAGCATATATCTGGTAAGAGAGAATTATTATTAGTAAAAGTAAGCTACATTTAGCATGTATCTGGTAAGAGAGAATATTATTATTATTAAGTAAGCTACATTTAGCATATATCTGGTAAGAGAGAATATTATTATTATTAAGTAAGCTACATTTAGCATATATCTGGTAAGAGAGAATATTATTATTATTAAGTAAGCTACATTTAGCATATATCTGGGAGAGAGAATATTATTATTAAAAGTAAGCTACATTTAGCATATATCTGGTAAGAGAGAATTATTATTAGTAAAAGTAAGCTACATTTAGCATATATCTGGGAAGAGAGAATTATTATTATTAAAAGTAAGCTACATTTAGCATCTGGGAAGAGAGAATATTATTATTAAAAGTAAGCTACATTTAGCATATATCTGGGAGAGAGAATATTATTATTAAAAGTAAGCTACATTTAGCATCTGGGAAGAGAGAATATTATTATTAAAAGTAAGCTACATTTACATGTCATTGTCTGATAATATGAGTATTTATTTATGAGTTATTATGTCATTTCCCACGTCTCTCATTCTCTTTGTGATCACATGCATGGGTAGGCTCTGTTATTATAAAATGTTTGAAATAACAGTCTCCTTTTTTTCTCATTGTCTGAAAATTCTATGCCTTCTGCCTCCCCCCCTCCTCTCTCACTTTTGTCCCTGTTTTGAATAGCTCATTAATTAATCCTTCTAGCTCTTTCTTCCTTTCTTCGCTTGCTTCTAAGCTGTTCATGGCTTCTTCTCCAAACTCTTTTTTCAACGTGGCAGAGACTGTGTCGCCAGCTTCAACCATACCCTGAGAGACAAAAAGAAAGAATTAATTACACTCTACAAAGCTCTCTCTTTGTTCCTGACTATGAAAATTAATTCACAATTATTTCAACTAGTTTTAATTGGGCGACATTGATTTTGAAAAAAGGACACCTTGCGACCATTATTATATTATTTTCTCATTACCCCCGGTATTGCCCATTGTCCGTTGTCCTTGCGTTTAACGGCAACAAATAGGAGTACTGGCTTTCCATCTTTCATTATCTTTTCTCCTTTGTCATTCCTCAACCACCTATATATACAGTGAGATACATTATGGTGGGCATTAATTAGAATTGTCTGTACATATGGCTACCTTGTGACGATGGGGTCTGCTGCATGGTTGGGACCCCACTTTCCTAAAAGGCCACGCCCTGTCATTCCAGTCCTTCCCGCTGGATTCCTTAAGGGTTAAAATTAAAAAGTGCTGGTGTTATGGGGTTGGGATTACCTTGGACGACTGTTTATAATATCATAAGTTCCCATGTGACTAACACGATTTGTTTTACCATCAACTTCATTAAATCTGATAGGTGTGGCCAAGCTTTCGCCTTCTCTAAGAATATAATAATAAATTCACATGGGCCCTTTTAAAGTTTTTCTCAGTCATACTTTATATCAGGGTCAGCCCAAACTGGTCCTTTTTGTACAGCCGGTGCAGTGTATTCTACAGGCTTGTAGTCACCCCATTCCACGCTCCAATGCACCTTATCATCCGGTACCTCTAACCGGCTGGTCCCACCAGTAGCACCTGGATACTCTGACAGCCTTGCTTTAACGTGTAGAGAAGCCGCGGAGGACATTGCCTGAGTCCTTGTAGAGAGAAGTCTGAGCCCTAGCGAGAGCATGCATAGAATGCTGGCAGGCACGCCCAGAAGGATGAATACCATTTTTCCTCGAGCCATTCTTATAGTTTTCTTGCTCGTTAAATAAACTATAATTTTTATAGGCCTGACGTGTTGGTTTTAGTAATGCAACAGTAAATGAATTAACCTGTTTACCTCAAGCAACCCAAAAAGGCCTGCACTTTCTCTAGAGGATAACTCAAATTTAAAACCTTTTAACACTCTTCGATTCTAGCTCGCGGCAATTGGCGCGAATGACAAGCTACCGCCCACGCACAGCTCGTGAATATTGTTAAGTGCTGGGCGTAGTAACTAGTAAAGGAGCAAGTTCATTTAAAAGGACATCTCTTTTCCCTATTCTTTATACTATATGTGAGAGCAACATGAGCCTAGACTACAGCGAGAGCTGCATAGAGGAGATCCTGCTAACCGGGTTCACAAAGAAAAGGGACAATAATGTTAGTTTTGATATCTAGACTTGGTTCCCGCGCCGCAAAACAAGCCTTGAGCAGATGTAGAGCAGTGTGTATATAAACTACTGCTATCATTGATTAGTTTGTATTTGAAAAGAACACCTTCTGGTGGCAGTACAGCTTCCCCGAGATAAACTTGCTCTTTAACTAGTTGCTTGAAAGTGTGAAAAGAGAAATTAGCTCAGTTATAAGTACAATATTTTTAATCTTTTACTCTCTCTCTCCCTTTCTTTCTTTTCTAGGTGTTTGAGGTCAGTGTCTACAGTGATGGGGTTGAGCTCCATTTGATGAGACGTTATTCTGACTTTGCATCATTTCATGTAAGCAGCTAAAGACCTACATGAAGTGTAATATACATTATTTATTTGCTGGCACAGTGTAGCCTCTATTATCATAAGGAGGGCATTGTGTAATGTCCCAATTGGTACAAGCCTATACAAAAGTACCTCTGAAATGAGGACACCTCTGTATTAAGGACAGGTAGTGTGGACCCAATGGTGTCCTTAATAAAGAGGCTACACTGTACATGTATTAAGGACAGGTAGTGTGGACCCAATGGTGTCCTTAATAAAGAGGCTACACCGTACATGTATTAAGGACAGGTAGTGTGGGCCCAATGGTGTCCTTAATAAAGAGGCTACACTGTACATGTATTAAGGACAGGTAGTGTGGGCCCAATGGTGTCCTTAATAAAGAGGCTACAAGTACACTGTATTATTAATGTTCACAGTGATAATATTACATGTATTATTTGCCATGCTGAAGGGAGTGCCTGTAGGAATTACTATTGTTTATCATTGTGGTTTATGATAATTTCAATCCCATTGGAGATACAGTGACTATCACTCTGTGTATTATTCATCCAATAATTTCTGCTAATAGAACTCTCCTGCATATAATTATACATGTACATGTAGTTTTTAGTAATATTATGATTATCATTATTATTATTATTGTATTATTATCATCATGGTCATTATTATTATTATCTTTATGTTACAGTTATTAGTGTGTGTGTGTGTGTGTGTGTGTGTGTGTCTATTTTAAATTACAGTCAATCACTGATCCAGAAAATAATGCAATTATAAGTGACATAATGTTTGATAACATCATACAGTGCACTCTTAATTAGAATCACTAAAGTATGACCTTATCCTTGTGTCTGTACAAACACATCCTTGCTCTTATGTATCTGTACATCCTTCCATTGGAGCTGCTTCTAATCAATGAAGTCACTTTGAATACTAAAAGTTACCAGCTACAGGAAATTAAAAGGGGATTTTTGTGGGCTTATAGATCATTGTGTCTGTGTTATTTTTATTGGTCCTACGTATATATTTAACACTCACATTATTGAAAGTTTGAGATGCTATAGGACACAGTGTTATTCTTAAGATTAGTGGTAGTACTTATTTTGAATGGGTGATGGTATCTTTATTTTATCATTAGCTAACAATTATATTTCTTTCCTTTCTTTACAATCACAAACACACACAATCTGCTATTGTTCATATAGAAAGCTTTGTTACTTCGCTGTAGGAGCTACCCTGACATTGAGCTGCCTCGCTTTCCAAGTAAACCTGTGTTGATTCTTTGTGTTAATTAATTCTTTGAATATTTCTCTCCCACCACTGTTTATCAGGTTTCCAGACATTGTTTAGTAAGGTAGTTGGACACACAGGTTATTATATACCAGATATTGACCAGCTCTCTGATTACTGTATGGTATGTGTCATTCACAACTCCTCTCTCTCTCTCTCTCTCTCTCTCTCTCTCTCTCTCTCTCTCTCTCTCTCTCTCTCTCTCTCTCTCTCTCTCTCTCTCTCTTCTCTTGTTCATTTTATTCCTTTCTTTAATGTCTTTTTATCTAATCTTTCTTTCCCTCCTCTCTCTCTTTCTCTACAGTCTCTGGTAGCTAATCTCAACATTCAGTTTGTTCACAGTTTCTTTGATCCTGGTCACTTTGATCTACACCTAAAGAGGTACCATTATACCATTATCAATTTATGTAAATGTCTCTGTAGTAAGGTTATATCAATACTAGTATAAAATATGTTGGAAATGTGTGTGGGTTAACTTTAGCTACCTTTCTTTCCCTCTTTCCTTCTCTCTCCTCTCTCTCTTTCTATTTTTTCTCTTTCATCTCTAATCTGCTATGTAGGAGGACTCTTTCAAGATGTACTACATTGATGGACATTGATCAAATGACAAATAGTATGCCTTGCCTGCACACCTGGGCCTTTTTTAAATATATTTTTTCTTTCTTCGTCAGATTCAAACAAGTACATCGTTGTCGCCGACTATCAAGATGGTGTTTTTAAAATTGAAGCTGGCGAAGTTGTACATGTTTTAGGCAGTGACCATGCTGGTAATACTAATAATAATAATAATAATAATAATAATAATAATGTCAATTTATTGTAACAATAATAGTACATATACATTCATGTATTGTTGTGTTGTATTATATCTTTTTTGTCTTTGACAAACATTCAGAATTCTTGATTCTGTGCCCACAATATTGTCAAACTGGGCATGTTTATAATTAGTCTATTGTTACATGAAATTGGCAAAGCTATTGCCGACACTAGCATAATGAAGAGTTATTTTAAAATTGTGTGATGTCACGAACTGTCATCACAGTCAGCCACCAGGTTACTTGATCTCTTTCAAGGGAAGAGCACGTTTGTTGCAAAACAATAATTATGCCTGGCATAGTAGAGAAACCATTGTAGTTATATGTGGAGTATGACTTACTATGAGGAAATCAGGAACTGCTCCAGACTTTACCATAGTGCATGTAATGTAATTTGGGACTTTATCTACTAATGATTCTTTTAATATGAATCAATGCATTACTTGTAGTATTAACTGGATGGTTTATTTATGTATAGCTAAATGGTTTAGACGTACAAGTATGTATGCACTTGTTAACTGAGTGATGTTGTGGCCATATTGTATAGTCTTAAGTTTGCCATTTTGTGTTTTTGTTGTCAGAATTATTGTCTCTGTACCCTTTTATAGGTTGGCATTTGGTGATGCAGATGCTAAAAGGTGGGAAAATGAAGTCTGGATGGCTTCCTGATCCTTACTTGCTATGGAAGGAAGATGGTGATCCTTTAGTTGAGGAAATACATGCTTTCCTGCTAGGTGAGAGAGAAGGAAGGGGAGAGAAAGAGAGAGAGAGAGAGAGAAGTAAAAACAAAGCTTTGTTAAGTAAAGATCATAAGATTATAGAAAGGCAGAGGTTAGGTGTGACTTATTGTGGTAAGTAATCACAAGTGATGATACCATTCAGACAAAAGCTTGTACTTGTGAGAAGTCACTGACTGATAGTAAATACATGTAATTGCACCACAATAAAATAGTAAATAACATCATATTTTATTAATAATATCATTTTTTGTTAGATCAAAGAAGTTATGACAGTCAAATGCCTTCTAGATTCTCAGACAGTCCTGACGATCTCCCACCTGACAGCATGAAGTACAACACGTACAGACTAACCAGTGATGCAACAATGTACAACATTAACTGCCAGTCTCTGTCACTGGATAGAGGAAGTACTGTCATTGTAATTGATAAAGATGTGTCAGGTATGCACAACTGTTTCTGTCTCCCTCTCTCTGTCTCTCTCTCTCTCCATCTTTTTTTTATATTTTTATTCTTTTAACTATCTGTAGATATGTTCATGTATACCTACTTGTTTATTATGATGAAAGTTAATGATCCTATGGCCTACTAATGTTGAGCCCAATTTGTGTGTATATCATCAAATTACACAATGGACACACTATTGGATATACATGTACTATTATTATTGGATGAATGCAGTACATGTACTTGTAGGATTTAGAATTCTAGTCAGTTGTTATTGTATAAGGAGAAAATGAAGAGTTTGTGTTTCAATGTATATCCAGTTCCATGAATTATTATTATTATTATTTAATTGAAACTAATCAATAATTTGATATTATTATTGACTAATTCAATTTCCTCTTCATCGCAAAGTTAAAAGCTTTCAGTGTTACAGATAATCCTAAAACATGATGTAATGTCAACCAAACAACACTTCCAGGACACAATATGTTCATGCACATACCTCTACACTGGTCAAACTAGCCTTTACTTCTTGGAATCATGTGTAGGATTGCCTTTGTTTATGTGCACATTTTTCTCTGATGCCCTATATATGTATGCATGCATGAACATGGATCATGTAACAGCAGCATGTTTCCTAACCACATTGTTGCAATTATTCAGCCGTGTAGCTTTGTTATAATAATTGTATTTGTATATACTACTTTTCCTCCTATTGCATTTGTTTTTCTCGTGAACTGTTTTTACACTGTCCTCTTCCTTCATTCTTATGATATCACTCCCTCACCTCTTACTCACTAATCACCTCTTCTTTCTCACCACTTTTTGAATTTTCATTTCTGTTTCTAATTTCTCTCTCTTTTCTTCTCCTCTCTCCCTCCTCTCTCTCTCTTTCTCTCTCTCTCTCTCTCTCTCTCTCTCTCTCTCTCAGGTTGGTGGTATGTAAGTTCTCCTAATGGCGATGGCTGGGTACCTTCCACAGTCTTAGAACCTAAGAGAGCAACACTTGACAGAGCTGATTACGACTCTGTCTGGATTCCAGAGCAGAACACACCTGATTACAAGAGACCGGTTCCCTATTACGTTGTTCAGGATTATTTTGCACGTCAGGGCGACGAGCTTTGCTGTGCAGCTGGTGATATTGTAGAGGTTCTGTACAAGTCAAACTCAGGCTGGTGGACTATTAGGTAGGTAGTATTATAGATATTTATGAGCCAAGTATTGGTTTAATTATGTAATTTTTTGGGTGGAGCCCTTACTTATGAGATTTTTTATATGTATGTATGTATGTATGCATATGTTTGAGGCGTGACTAGAAGGTGTGGTCAGGAGGCGGAGCCCTCTCAATGTTTTACATTCTTTCTAGTTTTTCAAACTGTAGCTATACAGTAGTTTTGTGTAGCTTAGTAATAGTTTTTATAAAACAGATACATTTTGATAGTTACAGTTGCTTAAAAATCAGTTAAAAGTCCAGCACATGGTCTCAGGCCAAATTTTGCCAAAATTTAAAACAAGAGAATTTTCAATTTTTATATTTTTATTTGATGCTTATACATGTTCTTATGTTGTGTAGAAAGTTTGAACTAATTCTAATCAAATTTGGATTTTTCACAAATTTTAAAAGCTACAAATTAACAAATAAAATACTTCTTTCTCTCCCTTCTACTAGGACTGAGGACAGCACTGGGCTGTTTCCAGCTGTCTATCTAACAAGAGACAAAGACAAACCACCAGCTGTGTCGGGAGTAGGTACAGCTTATAACATTGGATCTAACTCCTCTCTAGCTAAAGAGCCTCCACCAAGAAGGTACAATTAACATCATCATTTTTTTCTGTATCAGTATAGTATATACACACATACATGTATGTATTTCATGACTAATTCTCTGCATGTATCTAACAAATGAGTTGTTGAGATTATAATTGTTTCAATTAAGAAAAGAATTTCAAGTTTTTATTTACAGTATTAACCTGGCTTATGCTACATGTACAGGTACATATCCTTTACATATATACGCATATCCAGTTACTGTTTGTTCAGTATCAGTCAGTACACTCCCACTGCCTTTTGTTCTATGAGTTCTCGCTAAAATTAAATATACAGTATTCCTTTCATTCCTTGTAATATATTAATAGTATCTCTCTCTCCCTCTATCCCCTTTGCTCTCTTCCTTCTTCTCTCTCTCTCTCTCTCTCTCTCTCTCTCTCTCTCTCTCTCTCTCCCTCCCTCTCCCTCTCTCCCTCTCTCTCTCTCTCTCTCTCT